GCTGTTGCAAGCAAATCCTCAGGATGTATTTGGAGGCGGCTAAATGATCGGCATGCGGCCTTGCTCAACACAAGTCTTCGAGACGTGGAGGTGGCCCCTGGGGCCTCGACACTCCATCTCGCCTCCAGAGGGCGGAACAAATTACGAATGAATGTTGTTGCCGATCCGTCTCACAAGATTATTGATTCGAACTAGATCAGGCACGACCGCAGCTGTACGTAATCTCTACTGACTCTGATGTCCAATTCCCAAATTTGTATTTGACACGGAAATGGAATTTGAAACATGAGACGTATCTGAGTCTCCTTAATAGAAGAAGGACAAGGAAGCGTATTTAATAAATTTTTCTCTAAGACAGAATATCTGAAAACTTTAAAAAATCTTAGCGCAGTGTAAACGCTCGTTCGATGCGGCTTAAAGCGTCTATTTTCCTGGGTTCCGTCCAAGTCCAGAAGTCAAACTTCTTGCGCGATGACCTGGGTCGACGTGACGGCTGGACGAACTCCCTGACTGATACACCTTGGTTATCGTTACCTCCAATGATAAGAAGGAAATTAGACACTGATTAATTGCAAATGAAGTTTCATTAAAAGGGGAAAGCGGCGTCGTGTAACCGGTTAAAACAACCAAAGATCTTGGGAAGCACGAATATAATAAACGCAATACGCGTGAGGAAAGAAAGCAATATGCATGAAGTAGGAAAGAAATAGAATGTTCCAAGTGATTCAACCATCCTTCCCATGGGGTCGACATCGACTCTTGACTGTCTCATTAGGTACGAAGTGTTGCAGTTTACCTGGAAGTTAATCCCCAGGGAGCAGTCCAATTAAACGCACAGACTCACATTCAGTCACAGCCATCAGTACAACAGCAGAAGTGGATGAACCGAGAAGATACTATGAACGGAGTAACATAACGCCGTGAGTTCATATATATAGTCGACTGTTTGAAATGACTTTTCAAGCCGCATTTAGTGCCAGTGCATACATTGTCTCCTATTTGGCTATTAGACAATAAATCGGCTCAAGATCACTGTAACAGCCATCTTCTCTACTTTGAGAACGGCAATCACGAGGGTTGCCCAGTTATGGAAGACATACGCTAGACGGCACATCGGCGACTGGAGACTGTGCTGTAGAATCGAGAACCGGGCACAGCTATCTCCCAGGTCGATTCAAATGCAGATTGTTTATGAATGAAAACAACTTTATCATGTCGGATAAAGTACCGTCGACTGGTATCACACATTTTGTCCCGTTTCGGCCAGCCAGACGACGAAGTAAGGTTACAGAGTCAGATCGACGACTGGGTACTTCAGCCTTCAGAATATTTCGTCTTGTTAATGAGGCGGCATACTACAAAAACTAGGCAATTCTCCGACATTCAGTCAGTCGCAAAAAAGACAGGCTAAAACAAATACACAAAAGCAAAAATGTCGTTGAACAAGGGAAAAGTGAACCGATAATTCCCGGGGTTATTTTTCACTGTCTTAAGACAATCATAGTCCAGCTCAACACCACGCAGATGCACAACTGCCGACTTACGGAAAGAAAATAGTCTGTCCTGGTAAACAGCGAGACGAAAATAAGACCACTGTAAGGTATTGTCAGTGAGGCGCGTCCATTGTCCCAAGGGTCGCCGGTTGTCGGGCGGGACGAAGACATCAACCCGTATTCTATTATAATTATAATTCAGATATTCGCATGCAGAAATAAAAATGCTGCCCTTGAATGCGACTGCCGTGGGTGCGTTAGTTGCGGATAGCATGGGAGCAGCAGCCTTCCAAAAACTGTCAGATGACTTTCGTGGTCCGCGCCAGTCTGCTGGCTCCCGTAAATGACACATCTCCACAGAGGACAACGATTTGCCACTACCTTGGCCGCCAATCACAAACACGCGACCGTCCGGCAGCGCAGCAGCGGCAGAGTTCTCCCTTTTTTCATTTAAGCCAGGTAGTCTATACCATCTGAAATGAAGGCCACGGTAAAAAGGATGACTCAGTTAGGTCACTGCAACGGTGGCCTACTTATGAAAACAATCTAGTCAGTAGGGCCAGTTTGACGAATTTTTAGTCGACAAAAAGCGCGTTTAAAAACGTAACATGAGGGGGGAGGGTTGTCTGATGATATAAAAACTCTGTCCCTATTAGAAACGTGGATCAGATTCTAATAGCTACCCTTTAATTTGGGTCGTAAATGGTGGCCGTATTTTTTGAATGAAGCATGCAGGATATCCACGATTAAGTAAGTTTCTTTAATGCGGGCAGTTTTGGTATCTAGGGACTCCCTCGAGCAAACATTGATCATTCTTTGAAAAAGAGTATTTAATATATTCCTTTCCGTTGCATTAGCGCGAAGCTTTCAAAATGTAAGTATTGCCCTTTCCATGTGATCTTATGGAAAACGGAGCGCCGTATTGAATCATCATCCTCTCTAAACATGAGAACGTCTAGGAAGGGTAGCTTGTTACACTGCTCCATTTCCATCACGAATTTAATTTTTGGATGTAACTTATTCATTACACAAAGTTGATCAGAGGCGTCTACCTGGTTAGCAACATTCGTGAATATATCATTCACGTAGAGCCTGCATAATGCTGGCATGTTCAGTTTTAGTGACACCTTTTCTTCTAGCTGAACCAAAAAAACATCGGCGAAGGTTGGCCTGAGCCCATTACGACTCCGTCAATTTGCTCTTACGCGTCATGTGGCAGGCGAAAGCGGCTTCACTGAGTTCGGTCTGGACTCAAAGCGGTTCTTAACGGACGGGCTGCTGTCAATTGGGTGAGGAGGAAGAGAGGTCGATTCTTTTTTCAGTTTCCTCACCATAAAATAACATGCAGGCTTCTAAACCATCATGCCTTAGGAGGATGCCATCAGATCAAACTGTTCGGGCCTACCCAGAACAGAGGTACAGCCTGAAATAGATCTAATATGAACTTCATCGCAGTCTTACTAGTATGAGAGCTGAGATCCCCCCATCGAAGCCTAGCTATACTTAGCAGAAACACTATCTGGGTCTCGGAGAGTGGGGGTGGGGTGGGGTGGAGATGATTTCTCCACTTTTGGAGGTTTCGGCGGGCTTACCTTACCGGTAGGTCGCCGTCCTTAACCGCAATTTCAACGAAACCTCTCTTCTCAGGAAACTGTTCAGTGCAGTAACAGGCGCTCAGATGCAGTTGGCTACATCAAACATCGCGTTTTGAGCGGTATGTGCAGACAATTTAGTCGGAATTTTCAGCAAATCTGTATCTCATGCATTCTTGGACCAAATGTAGAGTTTCAGCCAAAACTGCCAAATCACGATCGCTTAATCCTCAGTGAGTTTACAAATAACGCTTGTGGAACCTGAGAAAGAATCTAAAGGAGAAGACTGTTAAGCTACGCCACAGACCTTTCTGAGTGTTAAACATCAAAGGGAGTTCCGGCCAGAAAGTGAGATCACATATAAAGGCGGTAGAAAGCTGCCTTTGACTAAAGCCAAGTCTTAGCAAAGAGAGGCCAAGTTAAGACAGGAGATTTATCGACGGATAGATGCGGTGTCTTAATGCAGTGCGTAATGCACTCAGGCCTCGAGTCTGGGAGAAGAGCACGGTTGACTTACGACCATCCCATACGGCAGAAAAATTCATTCAACCCTGCCTCATTTTTGGCGGTGAACACAATCGTCACGTAGATCCTGCATAATGATGGCATGTTCAGTTTTAGTGACACCTTTTCTTCTAATTGAACCATAAAGAACATCGGCGAAGGTTGACCTGAGCGGACTACCCATTACGACTTCATCAATTTGCTCATACGACTGAGGCTTAAGTCCATGCGCGTCACGTGGTAGGCGAGAGCGGCTTCACTGCGTCCGGTCTGGACTCAAAGCGGTTCTGAACGGACGGGGCGCTGGTACATGGGTGAGGAGAAAGTGAGGTCGATTCAATCCGCAGTTTCCTCACCATAAAATAACATACTGGCTTCTAAACCATCATAACGCCTAAAAATCGTGCTTCAGAAGGTACACACATAAATGGCTAAAATATGAACTTCATCGCAGTCCAACTAGTATGAAATCCCCATCGACGCCTAGCTATACTTAGCAGGAACACTATCTGGATCTCGGGGAGTGGGGGTGGGGTGGGGTGGAGATGATTGCTTCACTTCTGGAGGTTTAGGCGGGCTTAAGTGCCTCAAGTCTTACCGGTAGGTCGCCGTTCTTAACCAAAAATTTCAACCAAACCACTCTTCTCAGGAAACTGTCCAGTGCGGTAACAGTCGCTCTGTTGCAGTTGGCTAAATCAGAAATCTTCGCGATTTGGGCGGTATGTGAGTACTTCTTTAGTCGAAATTTTCAGCAAATCTGTATTTCATGCATTCTTGGACCAAATGTACACTTTCAGCAAAACTGCCAAATCATGCTCACTAAATTCTCAATGAGCTTACAAATAACGCCTGTGGAACCTGAGAAAGAATATGGAAGATGTAGACTGTTATGCCACGTCAGAGACCTTTCTGACTGTCAAACATCAGAGGAAGTTCCGGCCAGGAAGTGAGATCACATCAGTGGCGGTAGAAAATTACCTTTGACTAAAGCCAAGTCTGAGCAAACAGAGGCCAAGTAAAGACAGGAGATTAATCGGCGGATAGACGCGGTGTCCTAATGCAGTGCGTAATGGCCTCAGGCCTCGAGTTTGAGAGAACAGCACGGTTTACTGACGACCATCCCACTCATACGGCAGAAAAATTAATTCAAGCCTGCCTCATTTTTGGAGGTGAACACAATACCCACGTACTTCACTATGCGGTTACCGCAGCCAGCAGACTCACTTGTCTTGCTGTGGCGAGTAGACTTCACAAGTGTCAAGACACTCGTTCTGCTTGTTCCTTCCTCCGACGACACAAATCACTTTTTCCTGCCCGACTGGGACGGCAACTGCCGCAAGGTACATCCGTCCCGTGGAGAGCGGCGCACATTCCTTCCACCGAAGTTCATTCGTATCAAATTTGTCAACATTTAGAAAGCTGCCGTCGTCTTCATCTCCTCCAATCGCGAAGATGCAGCCTGTTGCCAATGCAATAAGGAGCGACGTGAGGAAATACGAAAACGAGTGTCAAGGAAATCAACCAAAGGCGTCGACTATGTGAGAAAATACACATTTAAAGGCGATATATTACCCCACAATGAGTGTTCTCATTAAGTCGTAAGATCTGTCACAGACACGATTCCGGTCTTGTACCACAGGCTTATACAATGGCAAAAGTGTTATGGCCAAAAGTTGAAATTATATGGTGCAGCATGCATCTTCCATCGCGCGGTTTAAAATCGCCGGTGATGGGGCGTAGGCTTGCTGAACACCAGCCCATATAAAAAACCAATGTTGTGGATAATGGAGGAAAGTACAAGAGAAGACGAAAAAAACATATTCTTCACTTATTTATATGCGACGGGAGTCAGTCAGTTAAGGAGCATAGGATCAGTCTACCACGGCTCGTGCTGATGCTCTGCGCGAAGGCAGACAACCGTCTTTCCCGTATTAAGGTTAATATCCGGTCTACGCAAACTGAGGACAGGCGTTCATTAGCTGTTTGAAACGGCAGACAGTCTTTCCTGGTGTCAAAGATATGTGTTTTGTACGATCTCAAATGAAGGTGAATATCAGGTCCACACAAACTCTGTCAGGTTGATGAAAGCATGCTGCGCAGGAATTAAGTGGGTGGATCTGCGTGTTACGGGGGGGAAAGTCAGGGACTTGTCAAAAGTCATCGTCGTAACCACACCAACCCTGGTAGTAACAGACGAAGCGCAATCATTTGTCAATTTGGAAGCTTTAGACGGTCCTTTGGACACTCTAGACAGCAGTACGCTGCGATTAATCGCGTTTGACGTGAAAGCATGGAAATAGGCAGTCGTTTTGTATGTAAAACACTGCCACCCCTTATGACTTTGCCAAGAGGCGAATGTCTGACCAAAACAACTGCAGACAGATGGCTGTCAAGGTTGGTACACGTGAATTGCGTTCAGTAGACAAGTACTCAACTAATGGATAACAGTCGCTAGGGCAAAATCGAGGAAGTTTGGGACGGCATGTGATGTTGGTTGGGAGAATATCAGTGTTGTCGACAGCCATCATGGCTGCCTGTTGTCCCCCTTCAAGGCCTCACTGCCTCAAAGCCATTCACCCCCTTGCAGCGAGCCGTTTCACACGCGCTGACCTGAAGCCACTCGGCCGACTTCAGCTACGACACACCTGCCTCCAAACAGTCATACCCGACCATCTGAACCTGTCTTCCGCCAGTAATCATAACATAAGCCACTTATCGACTAACCCTCTACAAGTCCGCGTTCCAAATCGATTCCAGGTGACAGTCAAGACTAAACAAAGACAGATATAACAGCTGACAGTCCTACCAAAAATTCCAATTGACGGGACTCACTCTCAATGGCCACGAAGGCCGCGCTAGATGAACCCGTTAAAACTGCTAGTGGTTTCGAAGTATTTGCGTCAACATCGTACTCGACAAACCACCGCGGACCAGTTTTCACGTTGCCAATGAAGCAGATGCCACCCAATGGCCTTCTGCGTTTTTCATTAAACGGACACTCTCCATCCACTCTCGAGGACGGATGTTCGATCCAGGCGATTACTCGAGGTAGAAGTTTACTTAAATAATTCAAAAGGTTAAAAGCGCTTTCGCAATATACAAATATTCCATAGTTTTATTTCAAAAGTCTTCTTCATTTAACAGTCTGGATCTGAAGTCTGCGTCAACTTGGATCCATCGCACTTTCCGCAGCATTGCTTCCACATGCATCAGTCAGCTTTCTTTGACTTCGTCAGCTGAACTTACCCAAAGCCCAATCGATTTGAAGACGCTCTCCTCACTGCCCCCTATGAGGTCATCGGCACGCAGTATGGACAAGACAGTGTCAGCCGGCGGCTGGTTGAAAATGTCGCTCGCAACCGTGGCCTCAATGTTTGTCTTTATGTGCTGAAGACAGGCGTTTATCAGCTGTTCGCTCTTAAGCAACTCTGCCAGGTCCCAGTATTTTTTTATGTTTTCATTGTTGAACCTGGGAGTTTATGAGAGATCGATAACACCTACCTGGCGGCCATAAAACTCACAGCCCACTTTGCCACCTGAGGCATTACGATTTGTTGCGACAGAACAATCAGACCAGTAGCATTGGCTTCAGTGACTTCCAGCTGGCCCGTTTACACATAGTCGATTAGTGGTTTAGCGACTCTGCGCGGTAGTCGTAATATAACACGAGTGATTACTCTGAGGAAACCTTTGGCCACTGAAGGACAGCCTTCTTTTGCGTATGCATTGTACATAAGGATTCACGTAGGGTGGGTATTCTGCAGACCAAAACCAACCTGTGTACATGCAGCGAGACGTCGTCCTGTAGCTTGAAATGAGAAAATAACAGTAAAGTTTATTTATAAACTTACCACTATAATCGCATCGGTCAGTTCGCCTGTCATACGAAGGTTGTTTAACTCGGGAAGACATCGTACAAGTGCCACTTCGTCCTCAAATGAATGAGTCTCCTGGTTGGCCATTGAATGAGCAAGATCGGATGGCTAAAAATTCGTTCAGGTGTAATCAATTCTGATAGTAAAATTTATAAAAAGAAAGAAACGTACAACCGTTTTGATTTCGGAGGAACTGTGGGCCTGTAATGAGCAGCAGAAAGCCTTACATTGAGAATCAACCCTACACGGAACACGCGGCTTCCTGAGGGAGGCTTAGAGGACTAACAGTTTAGAACGGCAGACAGTTTCCCCCTGGTGTCATAGATATGCGTTTTGTAAGATCCAAATGAACGCGCGTTTCGGCAATCGAACAGGGGCTATAGTGATATCCATACTAGAAAATAAACAACTACTACTGTTTTCATTGACAGTACGTTGAGTCGGTGTCCTATGCATGGCTTCAAAAGAGCCAACTAATGAACACACCACAGACTGTGCAATTTGTTGTATCTCCGGCCGAATACGGCATGCTTTCTCAGAATAATTCGCATGCAACCCTTCAGCCACTGACGGACATCCCGTAATATGTGCGACGGAAGGCGTCATTGCTATCGTTTATTTTATAATCTTCACAAAGTTTACCAACACGATAACAATGTGGTCATTAATCCTTAAGAAATTAACCTTCCGCACGTTTCACAGTTCTTAGGTTGTCAGATCATTATTGAATCAGTATGAGGCGATTCAAAATTTAAGTCGCCGGTCCAGAAGGAGGCCTCTCGGCATACATCGTCGCCGACCCACTTACGACAATTTGGCAGCCGGCTCCGACGGTGTCCATCAGGGTGGGGGCAAAGACAGTAACTCACATGTGATGCGGTTTCGAGTGTTAGTACATTCCTGCTGCACCTACCGCACTCGCCTCCCCTTCCCACCTTGTCCCGGTGTCAAACATACTGGAGGAGGGATCGGGCAAAGATTAATGGTGCGGTGCGAGTCTGCATCTAGACGCATCAGCATATTCCTACTTATGTGGCGTTGGTGATGGGTGTTGTGGAGGAGGAGAAAGACAGAAAAAACTAAAATTATCCTCTGTATGCAAGTGAGTTGGCAGCGCTTTGCGGTCCCGCTAGGTATGTTAACATTATACATTCGATAGAAACCATCGTGGTGGACAGAGGTTGTGTCGGTAAAGCTCTACTCAACACTTCCAGTAAATGTTTTTTTTTACCGCGAATGAAGTTAAATCAGAAGTCTACACCCGTATGTTTCTTAGACAGCAAAGAATCTTATCACGTATAATGTGTTCCTTATCACACAATAGTAAACCAGAATTTTTATCTGCAAATGCTGAAGTCACATAGTGAGTCATTGATATAAACCGACATGAATTTAAGCAGAGTTAACGCTTCTTCGATGCAACTTAGAGCATCTACTTCCCGCGATCCGACCACGTTCGGAAGTCAGACTTCTTACGCGATGGCATAGGCGGACTTGATGGCGGGACCAACTCCGCGACTGCTCTGCCTTTTTTATAAGCGGAACTTCAAAGATGGAAAAATACCACAGGTTTTTGTAGCAAAACAAACTGTGCCTATGTAAACGAGCCCGCCAGCAACCTAAATTTATAGTGTAGTGGAGAATTTGCTTATTTTCTAGGTTAGGACTCATCACTAAAAATTCGCGGTCTTAGTGGGCCATCGATATTGAAGGCAATAGGTAACGTTCAGCAAATTTGTACAAACTGAGTCAATTTTCTTAACGAGGTAAATTTTTAAGTGAATATGAATCAAATTTCCCTAGGGAAAGCCATCGAGTTTAGACAGTTTTTACTGCATGTCGGTTTTACTGTTCTGTCTCCCTATCCTGGAACTCTTTCATGTTGGAATCTTTTTAATATTGTTAACTATATCAAACGGTAAAATTCGCTGTCTACCTAGCTTAGTTTCAAGGGCAAAATCTATATAAATCGGTATAGATATCTCAAAAACTGGATAACTGCTTGATTTCCTCTCGAAGTAGTATGTAACCTGGGACTGCATTACATTTCTTACCGAACAGATTGCTTGCTACTTTGATTGTGTAGCAGAAATATTATAATAATTGCATTGATTATATTTACTCTGGGCTAAATATATTTTATCCAGGTTAAGTTTAATCTGTACAATTCAGTGTTCAATAAAACCCTCTTATATCCAAAAGTAAACTCAATTATAAAAGCAAAAAACATAATAGAGCGACTTCAACATATGATTGCGCGGATAACGTAGGATTTCTAAGGAAATTAGGTGCGGACGCACCGAAAAAAGCTAAAGGCGTCTTTCGAAATGTTGGGAGCGTAGGCGACTGACGGCCTCAAGAGTTCAGTTGAAATAAACAAAAAAGGGCGTAAACTAGCATTCGAGGAAAAAGTGCGTCACATCGTGTAAAAAACTAAGATCAAAAGAAAGTTGAATGTTTTAAATTTTAAAAGCTTGGTCTTGTTTTTTCGTTCAGACAGGCTGACGGCAATGGAGTGAGCATTTTCGACAGCGGAATTGCGTCGATATAGAGGAAAGCATGACTACGGCAAACAGTCAACAAAATATTTAACATTTCGTTCACTGCATTACAGATTCAAAATTAATTTGTTTAGTGTGTGCTGTACCATAAAGTAAACTACTAGAAAATTGTTCACTAATTCGTTACAATGCTGGACAGTAGAGCACTTTGGAAAATGGGTTTGACAATGGGCATGAATATGCTCTGATGGATCGCACAGTTGCAGATTCTTCCAACGCGAAAGACACATTTGTTTCCATCATTTTACTGTGCACACCCCACGTACGAATTTTATTCTTTGTATATATTTTTGCCGACTATATCCCACATAGATTTTCTGACTACATCAAGATCTCACTGACATCGGAATAGTTGGCTTATGCCGCTTTTTGTGAGATCATTGGCGCTTAATGTAAAAATACTTGCATTTTTTCGGTGCCGCATGCATGGTCATTCAGCATCATTGGGGTGTCGAGTGTTCAGAGATATTTTGTCAATAAAAACGTTGTTAATTAAATCGAGAATTTTTTCTTTGGTAGACCACAAAGTGAAGAGAACTGTTGTTTCTAACTTAATGGTCTTCAACAGTCAAGTGATCAGCGTTCGTCTAGGGGTATCCAAACATGGGTTAAGATGGATGCTCGTCAAAAATATTATCATTTTACTGTTATGTGAGTCGTAGTACTGCGGATCGTGGTTCACACCGCATGATTCCGCGACATACTTTAAAGCATGACTCAAATCGTAAATTTAAACTAGACTAGGGTATCGGCCCTTGCCGGTTTTTGACGTCTGTTTTCCCACGACTGAAAATAATCGATAGCTATCTTATCCCTTCGCTTAGTGACTTCTAGCAGTTCTACCGAAAACAGTCCTCTCGTCATTATATAGTGGCCTTATTTGACGTGCAATCGTATTGCATCTATGTTTCAAGCCACATTGGATACTTCGAGAACTGCAGTGATCTGATTGATGGAATACACGTGCGAAATACGTTTGAAGTGTAAACAGAAGTGCATTCTCGCATGGCACAAATTCTTATACTCTCCTAATAATCGAGTTCGGTCTGCAAAATATTGTTAGTTTTCCAACATTAAAACTACTAGAAGAGTCTGGCGCTAGGCGGAAGAACGGATACTGAGATGAGTATGACAGAAGTATGAAATAAATTAGGACAACATAGTGAACATGTGAAGGTTAAATACTTGGAGTCCGAAAGATCATCGTTGGCCCCGCAAGAGGTTCCTAAGAAAAAGATTGTGGATATCTGCATAGTTGTAATTTGGCATATGTTAGGAAGAAAGGAAGGACCTTACATGTTTGTGTTTCTGGTGCTAGCCGCTGGCGGTCAAGGTTATGATTGGCAGAATAAAGGCACAATAAGCCCGAAACAGTACTTTAGCAATCTACCCGCATTCTCTGTCGTCCCTCCTTGTTGCTATTATGACTTGGCCGACTTCGGCCTGGTAATTGGTTGCCTGTTCGTGACATTTGCCACCCATACGGAGCTTGCTTGCTTCGTGAAGCCAATAGATCGGTGTGCGCCCTTTCCTGATTGAATGTTCATATCTGTTCTACATTGTCAGAATTTAACTAGTCCACGCAACCGCCGTACTCGGCGTAAGTAGGTGTGATATATGCTCTTGCAAATGAATGTGATCATAAAGGAAATGGTTGGTATCGGTCTGATAAGCCAGATGTGTAGGGGATTCCTAAGTGAAGAATTTAATTTAGGCCCTGGAATCTATAGGTGACCTCACCAGTGATAGCTATGATCAGTGAACATGGTGAGTCATCCCTAGATTTTCGTAACTCTGGCCGAATGTCGGAAAATTTACAATGCAGCATAGACGATTTGCGGGTTAAGGAACTTATAGCACCCCGCTCCTGAGGTCCAAATTTTATTTCTACAGCTTACATTGTAAACGCCGGAGAATTAATCTTGCCCTTGATTTAAGTTTAGTCGTCATCGAGTCGTCCCCCATGACGACAGATATATGGCGGCATGTCCAAACAGGACAGTTTCGAAGTGAACTACAACGCCGGTGCGGTCAGCCATGCTGACTTGAGGACCATTCGCGTTATCTGACGGGCGCTTTAAAAACGCAGTACTGCTTACGGCACGCGAA